TGGTGAGAGGGGACAGGGAGCGGGAATGGGGACGGGAATGGGGACGGGAATGGGGACAGGGAGCGGGAATGGGGACAGGGAACGGGAATGGGGACAGGGAGCGGGAATGGGGACAGGGAACGGGAATGGCGACAGGGAGCGGGAATGGAGACAGGGAATGTGGACCGGGAATGGGAATGGGACCGGGAATGGGGACAGGGAGCGGGAATGACACCGGGAATGAGGACAGGGAATGGGGACAGGGACTGAGAATGGGACTGGAAATAGGCGAATGGGATGGGGACTGGGAATGGAACTGGAAATGAGACAGGGGATGGGATATATGGGAACAGGAGAGGGAATATAGAAGTGGAAGTATGAGAACGGGAGCTAGACTGGGAATACAGGAACCGGACAGGGAATATGGAACTGGGAATATGGGAACGCCATCCATACAGAATATGAGACACGGACAGGGAATGACACCTGGAATGGGATCTGGATTGGGATAGGAGCAGGATGGGATCAGGAGTGGGGTGACAAGGGAACTGGCAAGGCATGAAGGGGGTGACAGTGGGGAGAGGGAGAATCTGGATAGGGAACACTGGGAAATGGGATGGGGGGATATGGGGAAAGTTCTAGGGCAGGGGGTCCTTGACCAGCTGCTCCACAACCTCTGCCAGGGTCTCACAATGCAGCAGGAGCTGTTTAGCCTGGGATGCCTGAAGCCCTAAATAACCCTCAAGTCCCTCAAGCCCAGCATTCCCCACATCCCCTGAAAGATCCCTACATATCAGTGTGCATGGCTATGCCAGCACCATGTCTTCATCCATTATTCAGTTCATCTTTATTTTAACCTCAGTTTTGCTTTTAAAAGGACAGAGAAATGGAAATAAAATCAAGGGCACAGGGAGTCAGGAAGACTTGGAGCCCCCCAGCCAGGTATCTTCCCAAAACAGATCACTGGCATCATGGACCAGCAGGGCTCTGCCCACTGGGGCTCACTGGGGATCATCCAGCACGGATCCTCCCATGGGGGATGGAGTTGGAGCAGCACACAAAGCTCTTCCTGCACTTTGTGCACTCACAGGGCTGTCATGATCCACTAAGACAAGCAGGGTGTCGTGATGGTTCATTTACCAATCCCAAAAGTGCAAAAAGGCAAATAGCAGGGGACCATCAGTTTAATCACAACAAATGCACCTTTATTGAGTGCCAACAGCAAAAGGGATAAAAGGATTTAGAAAGGAAATAGAGAGAGAGAGAAAGAGGAAGCAGGATATAGCTACCAAATGGAGAGATTAAATCCTCTGTGGTCCAGCCACTTAAAATCACTATCGTCCATGGGGGTTCACCAAAATCTTGGCTAACTCAGGGGTCTTTTATAGTCCTCTGCCGAGTAGGGGGAACAGGTAATGGAGAAATTAGTCTATTGCAAATGGGTATAGACAGTCCATGTTCCGAAGCAGGGCAAGTCGATTTCAGCAGTGACCAAGACCCATTGTTTTCTGGGTCCTGCAAACACACCTGCAGGCAACACTTAGCGAATATCCTGCTTCAGTCAGGCCAGCGCCTCTGTCTCAGTGTCAGTCCTTGGGAGGGAGCTTCAATCTCCGTCCGTCACAGTGGTCGTGAGGCAGATGAGGGATCTTCCGTGGGAGATCACCAGTTACCCCCAGAAAGTTCATTTGGCCAAGAGGTGGGAAAAATCATGGGTTATTGTGATGAGCGGGTATCGTGAAGCAGGTGTAAGCGTACAGAGCAAGCCGCTCCTTGCCAGGCCCTGTTTGAATCAGTGCAGCATGACAACACAGCAAAGACACCTGCAAATAATCACCTGGTGAGCATCCACCTCAACCAGGCCAGAACTTCAACTGGGGTCTTAAGGATCTTAGTTCTGTGATTGTGATGATTGTGAGGCAAAAATGAGGGGAATTTTGGACCATCTCTTACAAAGGCTTTTCTTAATGGTGGCTCCCTTGGTTCTGGGTCAGATTAGAGCTTTTTGAGAAGTTCTTCGTACACTCATGACACTCATAGTGCCTCTCCCCAGTGTGTCTTCTCTGGTGGTAGATCAGGTAGCATGTCCAGCTGAAGTACTTCCCACAGTCCAAGCACTTGTGGAGATACTCCCCATTGTGAAGCTGCTCATGGACTCCCAGCTCTAAGATCCAGCTGCCTCCCCAGCCCAGGGGGAAACTTCTCCTTGGATCCCTGTGATCTGCGTTTGCAGCCCCTCCTCCTGTGGGATCTCCAGGACTTTTCCTTCACGTTAGATTCCTGCACTGTGGAGCCACTCAAAACAGCCTCTTCCACAAGGTTCTGCTGTGGGGACTTGTCCTCACTGGTCTCCATCCTCAGCTCCTGGTCTGGAGGAGGAAGGACAAGGAGAGGATGGGATTTGCCTCTGTGCCACAGGGAAGGGCAAGGAGATCCCCCCAGTGCATCCCTGGTTGGACTTTGTCAGGGGGATTGTTCTGCAGCCGGGGGCCATGTTGGGCTGGGAAATGGAGCAGGAGAGAGGGGGAAAGGGCCAGTGACTTCCTCCTCACCTGCCTGGGCCTCCAGGGGCATCTTCCTCTTCCTTGTGTCCTCCTCTGCCTGCATCGGGCCCACATTTGGGAATGGGAAATCCTGGTTTGAGGAAAAACAAGGGCTGAGCCCCAGTGGTCATGGTCCTGTAGCCCAAGTGCAGCTCTTGAAGTCAGCGCCCCTTTCAGCTTTGTGGGGCCCAGACCCTGCTCATCTCCAGCCTCCCCTACATCTCCAGGGTGCTGGAGGTCCCCCAGCTCCGGGATCACCCCTCTGTCCTGTCCCTACTTCAGGGCTCCCATGTTCCACCCTGGCTCTCCTGGGAATTCCCAAACCCGATATTGCTCCTCTGCCTGCCGGTACTCAGTGATCCACCACATGGGACCGCCCCAAGATCCCTTTAGGGGCATTTCCATCTCAGCTTTGGACTTCTGGAAGATCCAAACATCCCCTGCCCTGCGAAAAACCCCTCCCCAAGACCCCTGCAGTGGATTTGGGTGAGGTCCCTTTACTCATTCACCTGCGGGTTCTGGTGTACAGTGGTGGGGCCATGCTGCCATATCTGTGGGAGCTGTAGCCTGAGCAGGCAGGTGGGTGAACCACATGGTTCTGCTGCTGCTCTTCCTCCCACTCCACCTCTTCCTCCTGTTCTCCTGTTCCTCACAGTCCTTTTTTCCATTTCCCTTTCCTCTTTCTCTCTTCCTCCTTTTTCCTTTCTCCCTGCTCCTTTTCCCCTCCTGCTCCTTCTCCTCTCCCAGCCCGGCCCAGGCTTGTGCTGACAAGCAAAAGCAGCCATGCTCTGCCCTGAGAGAGGTTCCAAAGCAACCAGACCCCGTGCGGCACTTGGAGCAATAGTGAGTGTACCGAGGGCGATCCTGAAAGCACTATGAAGGAACTGGGAGCGCTTTTACTGGGAGCACTGGGAGGGAGCGGCACTCAAACGCAGTTACAGCTGGCGCTGGGCGTGGCCAAGACAAAGGGCGTGGCCATGCAGACATAAGGAATGTGGCGCACGGTGATTGGCTGGCGGTGTGCAGGACCCCTAGCAGTTGCATGTAATTGGGGCCTTTGTTACTGAAATGTTTCGTTTCATCTGAGCTTTGGAATCCTGCGAGCAGGACTATGCAAACGAAATTCTGTCCTCTGGTGGGTTTGTTTTGGGTTTTTTAGGAGGTGGGCGGGGTTATGCAAATAACGCAGCCTTTCTTGTGTGGTACTTCGGTGGGAAGCCGCGTGAGCGCTCCTATGGATGGGTTGGAGGCCTGAGGACCTGCCCCAGTTTCAGTTATCTCCTCCCCCAGAGCCTCAGGGAATCGTTCCGGGGCTCAAGGGCCTACCTGGGGCTCAGGCACACCCCTGAAGTTTTGGCATCCCACCCCCAAAAACCCTCAGGACCTTCAAAATCCACCCAGGACCCCCCAGTTCACCCTTGTCAGGAGTCTATGGGGATCCCAAACCTTCTCCCCACCCTCTGGGGTCTCTTGGATACCCCAGGTTTCCCTCTGTGGGGATGATTTTTGGGGTAGGGGTGGGCGTAGGGATCCCCTGGTGGGGCTCAGTACTTGCCAGGACCAGGTGTGGAGCCCAGATGGGACATTCTGGGGCCATGGAGGGAGTCCCAGGGGGAACCAGGGGTCCTTGGTGCTCAGTACTGGAGCTTAGGGCCCAGTCTGCATAATCCTGGTGTCCAGTCCTGGAACTCAGAGCCCGCTTTGGCTACATGGGGAGGGAAAGATCTGGGGAGTCCCATGAGGTAGGGAAGGGGAAAATTTGGAATCTTCAGGTGAGGGAGGGTGAAATTTTGGGGTCCCCAAAGTCCACTGAGATGGGAAGGAGGAGCAGATTTAGGGTCCCCAGGTGAAGGGTGGGGGGGCAACCCCACACTTTGTGTTGTCCACAGGAATGTCCCCAAATCTCTGCCACCCCTGGAGGCAGCTAAAGGGGGATTCCCCCTTTGTGCCCCTTGTGTTTGGGGGGGTCTCAGGGTGTCACCTCTCTTTGTTCCCTCATGTCCTGAACCCTGTCCTGGTGCCACGTGAGCACTGATCCAGAGTGAGGAGGTGGCACCATGGCCACCCCCCGGCTCGCACTGTCCTTGTCACCAGCTGCTGTGGCTGTGGCTGTGGCTGTACGGCTGACCAGGGACCCCTAGAAATGATACATGGGTGAGGAGGTTGTTCCCAAATGTCTCCAGGTCAAGGAGGGTGAGGAGGAACATCCTGGGATTGTCCCCAGCTCATTAAGGGACACTCTGGGATGTGCAGAGCATGGGAGGGTAAGGGGAGTTGTCCTCAAATGTCCCGAACACATGAGCAAAAGGTTGGACACCACAAAAGGGGAGGGGGGATTGGAATTGTCCCCAGCGTGGGAGGGAAAGGGAGGATACTCCTAGAGGGTGAGGGGGGTGTCCCCAAGGCAGGAGGGGGCACAGGAAATACTGGGAGAGGGTTAGACACTCCAGTGCGGGATTTTGGAATCCCTGATAGGTTTTTGGGATCCCTGATTAATTTTTTGGGTCTCTGACTGATTTTTGGTATTGCAGTCATGGCCACCTATTGCAGCAGGGGCCACTGGAGGTGGCAGCCACAGCCACCCTTGGGGACACCCTATGGATCCTGCAGCTTGATGTCACCAGTGACAGCTCTGTGGCCAAGTGCCTGGGGTGGGGGCCCAGGGGGTGTGCATGGATGTCATGGGTAAACATTTTAGGGGATCTTGATGACTTTTTGGGGTGGTTCTCAGAGATTTTGTGATGCACCAGTGACAGCTCTGTGGCCGAGTGCCTGTGGGGGGTCCAGGAGGTGGACATTGTGGGTGAAGAATTTTGGGGTGGTTTGATGTGGAACCCCAAAGAGGGGGAATGGACCCAAAATCAGAGGACAAAGGGTGTGGTGGGATGTCATGAGGTATCACAGAGTGTCATGTCATGTCTTTACCTATGGTGGGGTGGACACAGACACTCAACACCAGAAGCAGCCACGGGAACATCCTGAGGGACACAGCAACACCCTGCAGGACATGGCCTCATGACCTCTGGGACTTGGGCCCTGCCCACAATGCCACCAGGACACACATCAGAAGACAATGTTGCCACACCTGTGGGGACACTGCCACCAGGATGCTTCTGGTGACACCTAGCGTGCGGCCATGTGACCCCCCCCCCCCCAGGTGACCCTATGTCCTCTGTAATTTTGTTAATTGCTCCCAAATCTTTTACTAATTGATAACTTTTGCCATCTGCTTTTTCAACAGCTAAGATGGCAGTGTTGTATTTGAATTCACATTGCACTAGTAACCCATGTTGAAGTTTTTCAAGTACAGAAATCCTTATGGTTTTCTAATTTCAAAGGGTATTGGTTTTGCCTTATTGATGTGGCTCCTGGTCTGAGTGCAGTATTCACGGGTTCTGCTTGTTTGGATCTTCCTGGGATATCAGTGGCCCACCCTATTGGACTTACTGCATTCTCAACTTCTCAAAGTGGGAATTTCACCACATTTTTCCTGCATAAAAAGTGCAGCACTTGGATAAATTTAGATTCAGGAATTACAACTCTTACACCCTTTTCATTTTAAAATTTAATTTCTGTATCGGTTTCTCGAGGTCAGGATTGAAGGCACTTGAGACAGCATTCCACATTCCGACTCAGGAGTTTATTATTTCTCATCAGTGAAACAGTCTCACAACCATGAGTTTGGCAGCTTTTCATTAGCAAGGTACAAAATGGCTAACAAACTCTTGTTACAAGGTGTTTTAAAACTAAACTATCCAATTAAAAAACTTGTCATTTTCCCTTTTAACCCAATAACTGATCCCCCAAAGCCCGCAATGTGGACCTTTCTGTCCAATCACAAAATATCACCCAAACCTATGAAGAAGAAGGAAGAAGGTAAAGAAGAAAGACCTGTCTCCACCCTAAAATCTCCATCTTGCTTCATATTTATTTCTATATTCTAAAACCCCAAACTCTTAAGTTTTCCACCCTGTGATATTACACACTTCTAACCAACTACATACCCAGTAATCCCAGTACTATCAATCAATTTTTAGTCTTCTCCACAGCCTCAGGTCAAATGCAGTGTTCTCTTGTGGGTTTATCCCTTTCAGCACAGAAAGTCTAAAATTCTCAGCATCCAGGATTCCAAGATTTCTGCTTCCAATTTTTCTAATAAATCCCTCCCCAGCAATGCATTAGGGGAGTTAGGCATATAGGTGAATTGACGGGTAACCCAGTGCTTTCCCAGTTTAAATTTTAAAGGTTGTAAAAAGGCCATGTTTCTTTTACCCCGGTTGCCCCAACAACATGTGCAGTATTGTGACTTGGCTTCCCTTCTAAGGTATTTAACACAGAACATGCCTCTTCAGTATCTACTAAAAATTCAATGTCATCTTTATCCAGCTTAGCTATAACTGAAGGCTCCACTGAGGGTCTAACCTTCGGTCCACATCACTTCGAACTTGACCTGCTAGAACTTTGTACTACTGGGAGCTGGGGAACTGGGGACTTTTCTTTCAATGCTGGAAAGTCATTCTTCCAATGTCCCCATTTTTTACAATAAACTGATCTTTCTCCATTTTCTTGGATGACTTTTCCTGACTTGCCTTCTTACTAGGTTGGGATTTAACTCTTTCAGTTGGGCCCCTGTCTCAAAATATGCTCCAGGCCACCTCTACCAATTTATGTTTTGAACTCCCCCTATCTTTTGCAGCTTTCTTCTGATATCATTTGTAGCTTCAGCCATAAATAAGAGAACTAGATATACTTTACCATCAGCTGATTCAGGGTCTAGATCTGTATATCTGATGGCAGTTTCTCTTAATCTGCTTAAAAAATCAGTGGGTGATTCATCATAATTTTGCCTTACTTTGCAAGTCTTTGACCAATTTATAATTTTAGGGATACCATGTTTTAACCCATATACCACAAGACTTCGATATGGTTTTAACTTTGCCATATGTTCTGGTATATTTAGATCCCAACCTGGATTTTCTAGGGGAAACATCTGTGTAATAGTGCCTTGAAGCAACTCATTTGCTATGCTAGCCTCTACTGATGTAATCACTTTATTGACCATTCATCTCTCAATGGGATCAAGTAATGCGTCTGACATAGAGTTCACATCAGCCCAGTCAGGGTTTTGTGAGTTAATTGCTCTTTCTACTAATTTTGCCACCTTATCTGGATTATCTTTGTATTTGCCCACAGTAATTTTCCACTGTTCCAACTTGATAAGGGAGTATGGAACCTTTACACATATTGGCCCCTGGCTGCTGACTGCCTGCCACAACAGGGCTTGCAAAACCGGTTCTTCTCCTTTTTTCTTTTTCTAGTATGTTTCACTGTGACGGTGCGTTCTTTAATGGCCTTTTAAGCTACCTTTCCCCTCCTTAGCTTGCTCGGGGCAGCTATAACCTTATTTTCCTCCTCCTTGGAGTTACTTGAGCAAAAGTTGTCTGGCTCTGTTGACTCTGCTGGAGTAGTACATCTGCTTTGACCAATCCCATTTCTAGAAAACGCTAAGCATGACTTACACCGTGGTGGGAGCCGGGCTGTGTGCCTGCTCGCTGTGCAGATGTCATCTCCTGAGCCAGCTCCACAGTGCTCGGGGCTGGTACGGTAACTCATGGACCCGTGAGAGGAAAAAGCACCACTCCTCCCATGGGGGGTCCCCTCTCCGTCCTCTCGGCATAAGACTCTGCCCCCCCAGGAGCGATGGGGATGGAAGGGGGGACTGAGCTGGAGTGGACGGCCATGGCAGTGGGGGTGGTGGCTGCCGCAGCCCTCCCCCCTCCTCCTTCACTGGCTGGGAGCACGGTAGGGACATGACTCCCCCATCCCACCCTCAGATGCTGGGACGGCAGTGGCACTGCCGGGGGTGGCACTGGTGGCACCACCGGGGCTGGAGGGGCCCCGCCTGGCCCTGCCATGAGTATGGCCGGGGTGGGCCCTTTCCTTAAATCAGCGGCAATGAGGTCTAACTCTGCCTCCTTCTTATCTTTACATCCACTGTTCAATATTGACTGTTGTTTTCTACTTTTCCCCTTTTTTTCCTTTAAAACCAATATATGCTGTTCCTTTCTGTTTGTTGATGGGCTTTGCTGACATGCTAATACCATAAAATGCCTAGCATATTCTAACATATTGAAATATTTGTCCTCACATATGCAGGATATTAAACTTGATATTAATTTCTTACTGAAACTACCGAGTTCAGGCCACGTCTCACCGTTGTCTAGTTCATACGTTGGCTACATCTTTTCTGAGAGCCTGATAAGTCTGGGTTTAAAAAGCTATGACCTACCACCTGTTAGTTCACACCAGTTTTTCAGTACTAACCCCAGAGGACTTTCTTGAGATATTACTATTACAATCACAGGAGAATACATACTCCATCTTAACACTTACAAGTAGGAAAGTCTGTAGTGATCAAAAGAAACAGTGAGAGACAGAGCAAAAGAGCAAACAAGAAATAAGATGCAGGATTAGAACTCACAAGCTTTGGATCCATAGCACAGGAGCTAACCTACAGCACCACCCCTGGCCTCAGGCCACTGTTTACCATTGTACTACTAAAGGCACATTTTTCAGTGTCCTCTCTTACTCCAGTGGATGAGACAGAGAGTCAATGTAAATCAACTCCACCTGGACCCCTATGGTCCTTCCACACTAAACAAAACTACAAGAGCTCTCCTAACATGTAACTCAGGTGCTAAAACAGAATACCCCCTTTATTCAGTTATTCATGTGCCTCTGTGCCAGGCCCAAGGATTCTTGGGCTCTGATACCTTCAGTACTGCAGCTGGGGCACCCTGGGAGTGCTGGCAGCAGTTGGGGGGCCAGCTAGGTCTCCTCTGGTCCAGGGGGTTTTCCAGATGCCTTCTGTCCTTTCATGGGGTGCCAGAACTGACGCCTATGAGAGGCTTACCTGGAACAGAGGCTAGACAGAGTTAAAGGAATAAAGTAGGTATTTATGAAAAGGTCTTAAAAGGATGTACCTTGGGCAGTACAAGAGCCTGGCTAGGGCTCTACCCAAGATGGACCAACGGTCACAAGTTTTCACATTTTTATAAGTTTTTCACACTTTCATAAGTAATGATTTGGTAAATATCCATTTATATATTGGGGTTAATTGTCCAGTTACAGCTTCAGGTTATGAAGTCCCATCCTCCTTTTTTCCTCCCTTCAATTCACTGTTGTGTATGCTTTTTGGGCCAGAGGCTGTAATGGTTGTCCTCAGTTTCTCAAGCTGGAACAGGATTTTTTTGTCTAACTACCCTCTGAAGAGAAATTACTAACAATTAAAACAAAGTTCAGAGTTACACACCAAGGCAGTACAGAATCTGAAAAATACAAAAGCTAAAACTTAGGGCATCACTCCCACGTCACTCTCCATGTCTGTGTGCCTCCATGTCCCAACCTATGTCTGTGTTGCTCATGTCCCTATCTATTTCCATGTCCCCCCTTGTCCCCACCAATGTCATTGTCCTCCCATGCCCTCATCCATGCCTTAGTTCAATGTCTCTATTTTTACCTCAGTTTCAGGGTTTTCAAAGGGATGAACAGAAAGGAAAACAAAATCAAGGCCAAAACAAAATTAGTTACATGTCCCTGCCAGCTGAGCATCCATGTGCTTAGGTGGGTGGGAAGAACCTATTTGGAGGTGTTTCCATTACACTGTCTCCAAAATCAGGGTTTTGTCCCAGTTCATCCCCATTTGGTTGTGAAAGACAGCCATGAGCCAGGGAGAACTAAAATAATGGATTTATGTTGGAGAAGACCTGCAAGGCCATCCAGTATTGCTTAATGCCACCAGAAGACGCAAAAAGTGAGATTTTTCTGGGGTCAGATGTCAGCAAATGTGCTCTCCACAATTGATTTCTGATGTTGGTCTGTGGATGTGTCTGGGTGCCCACAGGGAGCCAGAAGGATGTGGAGCCCCCAGCCAGGTGTCTTCCCAACATGGATCACCAGAGGACCACCAGGGCTCAGCCTGCTGGAGGTCACTGGGGATCATGCAGTGCGGATCCTCCCATGGGAGATGGAGCTGGAACAGTGCAAAAGCTCTTCCTGCACTCATGGCAATTGCAGGGCTTCCCTTAGTGCTGGTTCCACTGGTGTTGGGTCAAGGTGGAGTTCTGTGAGAAGCTCTTCCCACACTTGGGACAATGATAGGGCCTCTCCCTGGTGTAGATGCACTTGTGCTTAATGAGACTGCAATTACGGTTGAATCCCTTCCCACAGTAAGGGCAGCGAAAGAGCCTCTTATCTGTGTGAATCCGCTGATGCTTGACAAGAGTGGATCTGAAATCTCTTCCAGCATTTATCACATTCGTAGGGCCTCCCATGTGTGGATCCTCTGGTGGATGATCACCTTGGTGCCTACGCAGAAGCTCTTCCCACACTCCCCACACTCATAGGACCTCTCCCCCGTGTGGATTCTCCAGTGGCACATCAAGGAGGATCTCTTGCTGAAGTTCTTCCCACATTCCGAGCACTTGTGGGGCTTCTCCCCATCGTGAAGCTGCTCATGGACCCCAAGTTCTGAGCTCTGGCTGCCTCCCCAGCCCAGGGTGGGTCTTTCCTCCTCAGAACCTCTTGATTGGTGTTTACAGCCCTTCCTCCTGTGGGATCTCTGGGGCTTTTTCTCCCTGTTAGATTCCTGTGTTGTAAAACTGATCAGAACGGCCTTGTCTGAGGTTCTACCATGGGGATTTCTCCTCCATAGCCTCCATCCTCAGCTCCTTGTCTGGGGGAGGAAGGACAAGGAGAGGATAGGATTTGCCTCCATACCACAGGGAAGGGCAAGGAGATCCTCCCAATGCATCCCCAGTAGGACACTGTTGGCAGGGAGGTTGTCTTGCAGCCGGGGGCTGTGCTGGGCTGGGAGATGGAGCAGGAGAGAGGGGGAAAGGGGCAGTGACTTCCTCCTCACCTGCCTGGCGCTCTCAGGGCATCTTTCTCTTCCTGAGAGCCTCCACCTCCATCTGGCCAAAGTTTAGGAATGGGAAATCCTAATTTCAGGGGGAAAACAAGGGCCAAGCGCGTAGGGTTTGATGGTCCCGCTACCTAAGTCCAGCTCGAGAAGTCAGTGCCCCTGTTGGCCTCGGGGGGCCTGGACCTCGCTCATCTCTAGCCTCCCTCACCCCTCCAGGCAGCCGGGGATCCCCCTGCTCCAGGATCGCCCCTCTGCACTCTTCCACCTCCAGGGCTCTCGCATTTATCTCCGGCTCTCCTGGGAATTCCCAAACCCGATATCGCTCCTCTGCCCAGCGGTACTGGAGCAATCGACAAATCGGATCCTCCCAAGATCCCCCAAATGTGTATTTCCGGCTCAGCTCTGGGGTCCTAGAAGATCCAAAGATCTCCTATCCCGCAAAAATAAACCCTCCTGGAGACATCCGTGATGGATTTGGGGCGAACTCCCACTCCCCGCTCACCTATGGGTTCTGGGGAGGGGCAATGCTGTTACAGCCGGGCTGCCGCAGCCTGAGCGGGCAGCCGGGGTAACCGCGTGGTCCTGCTGCTGCTCCTATTCCTCCTGTTCCTCTCTTCTTCCTCCTCCTCCTCCTCTGTCCCTCCTCTTCCTCCCGCTCCGCCTCCGCTCCCAGTCCGGCCCGGGCAGGTGCCGACACCCAAAAGCAGCCGCGCTCTGCCCGGGGCGGGTTCCAAAGCGGCGTCGGCCCGTGCAGCACTGGGAGGGAACCGGGAGCGCTTTCCCTCCCGGCACCGCTCTGACTGGGAGCACTGGGAGGGAACCGGGAGCGCTTTCCCTCCCGGCACCGCTCTGACTGGAAGCACTGGGAGGGAACGGGAGCGCTTTCCCTCCCGGCACCGCTCTAACTGGGAGCACTGGGACGGAACCGGGAGCGCTTTCCCTCCCGGCACCGCTCTGACTGGGAGCACTGGAACGGAACCGGGAGCAAACAGCGTCCGGACGCGGCCGCAGCCGGCGGGGAAAGGGGCAAAGCGAAGGGCGTGGTTATGCAAATCAGGGAGCGATCGCGCGCTGGGATTGGTGGGCGGGGGCAGCGCGGGGTTTCTTCGGTCACGTGAGGGCGGTGGGGGGCCTGGAGCGATGGCGGCGGCGTCTGGTGAGAGGGGACAGGGAGCGGGAATGGGGACGGGAATGGGGACGGGAATGGGGACAGGGAGCGGGAATGGGGACAGGGAACGGGAATGGGGACGGGAATGGGGACAGGGAGCGGGAATGGGGACAGGGAGCGGGAACAGGGGACAGGGAGCGGGAATATGGGAACGGGACAGGAAATAAGGAACCGGAGAGAGAATATGGGATTGGGGTTAGGAAGATGGGACCAGGATCGCAAACTGGCCTAACGGAATGGGACAGGGAACGTAGAAATGCAAATAGGGAAATGGAAGCGCAACCAGCAGCCCAACTGGGAATATGGGAGCAAGGGGAGTGACAGCAGGGAGAAGGGGATCCTGGACAGGGGGGACAGCAGGAACCAGGATAGGGAGACATGGGGACACTTCCAGCGCAGGGGGTCCTTGATCAGCCGCCCAAGAAACTGCCAGGGTCTCCCAGCACAGCCAGAACCTCTCAGCCTGGCAAAAGCTGAGTAAAGCCCTGAGCAACCCCAAAGTCCTGCCCAGGAACCCTCAACTCACTTGAACTCAGCATCCTTCACATCCCCTGGAAAATCCCCCCATGTCCCCATCCTTGTCTTAGTTCACTGTTTTTATTTTTACCCTGCTTTTGGGTGTTTTGAAAGGACATAGAGAAATGAAAAGATAACCCAGACCACGTGGAGCCATCAAGAGGTGGAGCCCCCCCCAGCCAGGTGTCTTCCCAACACAGATCACCTGCATCACGGATCACTGAGAACCATCCAGTGCAGATCTCCCCATGGGGGATGGAGCTGTAGTAGTGCACGAAACTCTTCCCACACTTGGGGCACTTGCAGGGCTGCTATAGTGGTAGCTCCGTTTGTGTTGGTTCAAGGCTGACCGCTGTCTGAAGCTCTTGCCACAGTTGGGACATTCATAGGGCCTCTCCCCAGTATGGATGCGCCGGTGTGTGATGAGGGTGGAGTTGAGCTTGAAGCCCTTCCCGCAGTCGGGGCAGCGGTAAGGCCTCTCATCTGTGTGAATCCGCTGGTGTACAAGGAGATCTGAGCTGCTTTGAAACCTCTTCTGGCACTCCCCACACTCGTAGGGCCGCTCCCCGGTGTGGCTCCTCTGGTGGATCATCAGGTGGTAGTTCTTACTGAAGCTCTTCCCACATTTGCCACACTCGTAGGGCCGCTCCCCAGAGTGGATCCTCTGGTGGGGCATTAGTTCAGAGATCTGGCTGAATCTCTTCCCACAATGCCCACAATCATAGGGCTTCTCGCCGGTGTGGATCCTCTTGTGGACAATCAGGTTCGACTTCTGGGTGAATCTCTTCCCACAGTCAGAACACTCGTAGGGCCTCTCCCCAGTGTGGATGCGCCGGTGCTTGATGAGGTCAGAGTTATGTCTGAAGCCCTTCATGCAGTCAGGGCAGCAGAAGGGCCTCTCCTCGGTGTGAATCCGCTCGTGCCTGAGGAGATGGCGGCTTGTCTGAAACCTCTTCCCACATTCGGGACACTCATAGGGCCTGTCATCCGTGTGTGTCTGCTGATGCTTCAGAAGAGTGGAGCTTCTCTGAAAGCTCTTCCCACATTCCCCACACCTGTAGGGCTTCTCTCCATTATGAAGTTGCTCGGTGACCCCCAGCTTGGAGCTCTGGCTACATCTCTGGCTGCCATCCTGGCCCAGGGTGGGTTTTTCCTCCTCTGACCTCCCTGGGCTGGGTTTGCAGCCCCTCATCAGGGATCTCCAGAGATTTTTGTCCCCGTTGGAGTCCTGTGCAGTGGAGTCACTCAAAATGGCCTCTTCCATGAGGTTCTGCTGTGGCGATTCATCCTCTCTGGTCTCCATCCTTAGCTCCTTGTCTGGAGGAGGAAGGACAAGGAGAGGATGGGATTTGCCTCCATACCACAGGGAAGGGGAAGGAGATCCCCCCAATGTGTGTCCCAGGCAGGACAGCATTGACTGTGGGGTTGTCCTGCAGCTGGGAGCCGTGCTGGGCCGGGAGATGGAGCAGGAGAGAGGGGGAAAGGGGTACTGACTTCCTCCTCACCTGCTTGGGTGTCCTGGGGCATCTTCCTCTTTCTCCCAGCCTCCTCTTCTTCCATTGGGCCAATGTTTAGGAACGGGAAATCCTGGTTTGGGGGGGGGATAACAAGGGTTGATTGTGTTGGGTTTGATGGTCCGGCTAGCCAAGTCTAGCTCTAGAAGTCAGTGAACCGTTCAGCTTGGGGCTGTCTGGAACCCGCTCATCTCCAGCCTCCTTCACCCCTCCAAGCTGCCGGGGTTCCCCAGCTCCGTGATCGCCCCTCTGCATTCTCCCCTCTTTCCCCTTGGCACTCCCTGGGAATTCCCAAACCCGATATCGCTCCTCTGCCCGCAGGTACAGGGCACGTGCGACCCCGGTAAGGGGTATTTGTGGCTCAGTTTTGGGGTCCTGCAAGATCCAAACATCCCCTGGCCCACAAAAAAGCTTCCCGGAGACCACCCCGATGGATTTGGGGCGAGGTCCCTCTCCCCGCTCACCTGCGTTTTCAGGAGGTGGGGGGACGATGCTGCCGGAGCCGGGGGAGCAGCGGCCTGAACGGGCGTGCGGAAAAACCGCGTGGTGTTGGCCTGCTGTTGCTCTTCCTCGTCCTTCTCTTTCTTCTGTTGCAGCTTCTCTACTTCCTTTTCCTCTTTCTCTGTCCCGCCTCTTCCTCCCGCTCCTCCTCCGCTCCCAGCCCGGCCCGGGCAGGTGCTGACACCCAAAAGCAGCCGCGCTCTGCCCTACGGGGATTCCACAGCGGCGCCGGCCCGTGCAGCACTGGGAGCGATCCTGAGAGCACTGGGAGGGAACCTGGAGCGCTTTCCCTCCCGGCACCGCTCTGACTGGGAGCACTGGGAGGGAACGGGAGCGCTTTCCCTCCCGGCACCGCTCTGACTGGGAGCACTGGGACGGAACCGGGAGCAAACAGCGTCCGGACGCGGCCGCAGCCGGCGGGGAAAGGGGCAAAGCGAAGGGCGTGGTTATGCAAATCAGGGAGCGATCGCGCGCTGGGATTGGTGGGCGGGGGCAGCGCGGGGTTTCTTCGATCACGTGAGGACCGGGGGGTGGCCGGAGCGATGGCGGCGGCGTCTGGTGAGAGGGGACAGGGAGCGGGAATGGGAACAAGGAATGGGAACGGGACACGGATGGGAACCGGACAATAGGGAAACGGGGAACGGGAGTACCGGGAACCGGGAGGTTGGGGGTGACATCGGGGCGAGGGGGGCTGGGGATAGGCGCGACACTGGTGCGAGGGGACCCCAGGGACCGGGCCGGGGATGTTAACGGCTGCAGGGGGCGCTGTGCACCTGCACTGTGGGCAGGGGGGACAGCAGAACGGGGTTGGGGGGGACACCGGGGATAGGGGGTCCTGACCGGGGGTTTAACGTAGACGGGGACACTGGACTGGGCAGCGGGGACACCGGAACAGAGCAGTAACACTGGACCGAGTGGGACGCCGACTGCGGGCCGACACTGAACAGGGTGACACTGGGACACGGGGGTGACACCGAGCAGCAGGGAAACGGACTTGGGGGGACACCGGAGCGAGGTGACACCGGCGGCTGTCCCCAGAGACCGAGTGGGTCCCGAACCACGGCACCGAGTACAGCACGGCCGAGGCGGCTCCGGCGCCAGTAGCAGAGGAGGAGCTGCGGCGCCGCCTCAAGTAATTCCTCATGAGCCCCTGTAGCGGGCCCGCATGTTGTCGTGCTTTGAATCCATGTTTGCCCACTGTTCTCCATAATTCCCTCCCTTTCCCAGTTGCCAATTTTCCCAAGCCCTTCCCTAACCTCCTCCCTTCCAAGTTGTTAATCCTCCCTATCCCTTTCTCCAGAGAGTTCTGTGTCTGTCTTGTTGCCCTGGACACCCCATTTGTTACTTCGTATTATTCCCTCCCCCCCCCATCCCCCCCATTTTCTCTGATACACTCATAAGCTATTTGCCTCACCTTATACTCCTCTCTTGCCATATCCTCATTGGTTCACTTTCCTACACCCCTCCTCCTGAGTTGCTGTATAAAAACTTCTGTTCACCCCTCCCCCAATTTTGTCTGGGAGCTCAGGAATAAATCCATCTTGTTCTACTCTAAGACCCATGTCTTTGCTGTCTGTTCCTGCACCAGAGCTGCCCATAACTGGGAATTGCAGAGCTCACAGGGTCGTGTCCCTGCCGCAGCTGCCCCACACGCTGCGCACTGCAACACCTGCAGAAGGTGGCCCGCAAAGTTCATGTTGAAGCACACCAAGATCGTCCTTGTCACTGTGTAGGTGACACTGCCAGGGACAGCGGGCTGGCACAGCAGGGACAGCAGCATGGGGGCCTGAGACATCGGTGAGGGTGCAGAGGGACATAGGGGCAACAGGGACAGTGGGCTGGGACAGCAGGGACAGTAGGGATGGCAGGTGGGGACAGCAGCATGAGGGGCTGGGATACCAAGGAGGGAGCACAGGGACATGGGGATACCAGGGACAGTGGGCATAGGGGGCTGGGACACTGGGGAGGGAACATGGGGACATTGGAGAAGAGGTGCCAGGGACAGCAGGCAGGAGCCACAGGGACATGGGGGCATTTTGAAAAGAATGATCAAGTGTCCTGAGACAAAGCATGGCAGTGTCACTGTGGTGGGTAAGGAGCACAGGCCTTTGTCCCCAAGCATGGAGTGACACTGTTTTGGGGTGAAACATGGCAGCATCACCGGGGTGGTACAGAGACTGACAGGGGTGGTGTCCTTTGTCCCCAAGCTGTGACACCATTTTGGGGCAAAACACACCAGTGTCACCCTGAAGGGATGGGTGGTGACAGAGGTGGTGGCCTTTGTCCCCACCCAGCTGATCCTGTTCAGGCTCAGCAACCAGCTGGTGGTGGCTTTCAAGGAGGACAACATGGTGGCCTTCAAGCACCTGTTCCCCAAGGGCTACAAAGATGGCACGAATGACACCCAGGCCATCTACACCCACGGGAGTTTCCTGGAGCACCTGGCCTTTGTCCTCAAGAAGGTGGCATAGGGACACTGGAGGGGCTGGGGACACCAGGAGGAACTGGGGACATCGGGACCTCCTGGAGAACCTAGTCTATGTCCTCAAGAAGGTGGCACAGGGACACTGGAAGGGACTGTAGACATCAGGGGAGGGTTTGAGGGACATCAGGAAGGTTGGAGACATCAGGAAAAGTTTGGGAACATGGGGGTTATTTGGAGCCATCAAGGTGCCACTCACAGTGCTCCTGCCCCTGTCCCCACAGTACCTGTCTGTCCTCCATGAGACCTTTGGCTGCCACATCTATGCCTGGGGACATGGAGATGTTTCTGGAACACTGAGATGTTTTGGGGTCATGGCAATGTTTTGGGGCCATGGGGTGGTTTGGGGCCACCAAGGTACCCCAGGGCCATCTCCAGCCTTGGTGTCCCTGTAGTACCCAATGACACCCTGGGCCACTATGCCTATGGTGGCACTGAGGGTGGCACCAGGCTCCAGCTGTGCCAGCACTTCTTCTGCAGGGTGGACATCAACCCCAGCAACAACACCTTTGACATCAACCCCAGCATCATCACTGGTGGGGACACTTGGAGTTTGAGGTTTGGAGTGCAGGTTTGGGATTTGTGGTGTGGGGCACTGGGTTTGGGGTTTGAAGCTTATGGTTTGGGTTTCAAGTTTGGGAGTTGTGGCTTGCAGTTTGGGTTTGTGGTTTGGATTTGGGTTGGTCCCATGTCCTGGTTTAGGGCAAATTTTGGGAGAAAACCTCCAGAAGGAGCACCGAGAAAGCAAACCCCCTCAGCCCCTTCCCCTTCCTGGTTCAGGAAGAATTTCCTCGGAGAGAAGTGGAAAGAAACCTGTTTATTTAAAAGGCAAAGCACTCCCCAGCTAAAAAAAATGAACAACACTAGATGACAAAACTCTTTCACCACTCTGAAGTGATGACAAATCCAGAGAGTCTGTCCTGGGAGTGATCGCTCTGTAATCCCTCCGGAGCTGGGAATGGGTGCTGCAGGCCACAAAGTGCAAACTCTTAGTGTTTTCCAGGTCCCAGTCCGGAGCAGGTTCAAATGGTTCCAAGAAAAGGGAAAGAAAAACAGTCCAGGGGAAAATTCAGACTGTTCAGCTAAACTAACTAACAAGCCAAAAGCAAAAGCAAAGGCATAAGCAAAGGCAAAAGCAAAAGCAAAAGCAAAAGCAAAAAGCAAACAGGAAAAAGCAACCGCCATCTGTGTCCAGCAGACTGTGGGGGAGTGAGCAGGCTGATAACAAAACAAAACTTGTTTTTCAGAGCCAGGCTTGAAGGCAGCATAAACAAAATAGATGACTGGGGATACAAGCATCATACCATCACCCTAGGACATCCCAAGGGGTTTGGGATTTGGGTTTGGGCTTTATGGTTTAGAGTTTGGGAGTTGGGTTTGAGGTTTGGAATGCAGGATGGTCCCAAAACGTTTGGAGTTTAGGATGGTCGCAGGGTGTTTGGGATTTGAGATTCAGGGTTTGGGATGTCTCAGGGGATTTGGGATGGTGCCAGGGCATTTGGGAGTTGGGATTCAGGATTTGGGATTTGGGATAGTCTTGGAGCATTCAGAATGGGCCCAGGGCATTTGGAATTCAGGATTTGGGAAGTCCCAGGGGCTTTGGGCACCTGACATTCCATGACCTCAATTCTGACCCCACAGTGGTCCTGGGGGTGCATCCCAGGGACCCCCGGCTGCCAGTGCTGGACAGCAACTTCACCCTCCAATTCCACAGATAAATCCTAAAAAACCTGAAAGTTCCTGAAAATCCAACTTATGGGAGTTTCCCATCCCTAAAATACCAGTGTGGGATTTGCATTCACTTTTCCCAAATTCTTTTTTGGGATATTGGGGTGAAATTTTCCCTTTCCCCAGATTTTTTTTTTTTTTTTTTGCAATTTTGTGGCAAATTTTTCCTTTCCCATTATTTTTTTGAGAATTTTGGTGCAGAATTTTTGCTTTTCTAGGTTTTATTTTGGGAGTTTTGGAACTCCTGGGGGTTTCTTTGGGATTTCAGTTGGATTATCTCATTCCTTTTGGTTTTTCTGGGGATTTTGGTATGAAATTTTCATTTCTGGGGGATTTTAGTATGGAATTTTTCCTTTTCCTGGTGTTTTTTGGGAACTTTGAGAACTCACAGGATTTTTCTTGGGATTTTGGGGCCAATTTATTCCCTTTCCTGTTGTTTCTTTGGGGATTTTGGGGAGGAATTTTCCTTTTTCATTGGTTTATTTTGAGACTTTGATGCAGAATTTCTCCTTTTTTGGGGCGATTTTAGGGACACATGGAATTTTTTGGGATACTGGGGCTTCCTGGGGTGTTTTTTATCCTCTCAGGCTGATCAGTGTCACCGTGGAGTTCCAGCTCATGGCCATGAACATCCAAATGCTGCTGAAACAAAAAATCCCTGACTTCTTCACCTTCATTGTCACCGTGAGCATCACTGTGAGCGTCCCCAGGTATCCCCAAGTGTCTGCAAATATCTTAAAGTGACTCCAGTGTCCCCTGAGTGTCCCCAAATATCCCAAAGTGTCCTCTGAGTATCCCTTGAGTGTCCCCAGTGTCCACTGAGTGTCCTTCTGTATCCTCTCATGTCCCATTTGTGTCCCTTATGTCCCTCCCGGTGTCCCACTCATGTCCCCCTTGTGACCCTCTTGAGTGTCCCTGTTTCTCACCCGTCCCTGTGTCCCTCTGTCCCTTGGCTGTCTCCTGGTCCCTCTGCAGGCCCTGTGGGGCTGCCAGCTTCCAGGCTGTGACGGTAACAGTGCCAGTGCCAGTGATGGTGCTAGTGACAATGATGGTGGCAGTGATAGCAACAGTAACAGTCACCATGCCAATGCCAATGCTACCCAGTGTCT